TTTTTTTTTTTTTTTTTGTATAATTTTTCTGAATTCAAATTGTTCTCAAACAGTGGCCCTTTATCTGTACGAGCCTTCATCTTCATCAGAGCTTCAAATCAGACACCTAGGGTTTCACCTTGGCCTTTCGCTCGCCGCCCGCTTTTGCTCCGCAGGTAGATGGTCAGCTGCAATTGTACTTCCTGCTTCATGTGTTGTGCCCTTGATTTTTTATTTTTTGTTGTTCAACAAATGTCTTCCCATTTTTGCTCCTTCTGTTTGCCTAAACATTAATGTTGTTTATCAAGAATTAGCAATTTTTTTTTGGACTAATTGTCGATCGAATGCGGGAGATGTTTTGTTGAGCTTACTCATGATAACAGATTATGTTCTGGGCTTTATGTTTTAGATAAGTGATTTGAGCTAGTATTGAGTTCTTAGAACAATAAAGTGTGGATCTTGGCATTTGAATTTGTTTTAGATGAATAGTTTTAGCGAGAATCGAGTTCTTAGAACGATAAAGTTTATATCTTGGCGTTTGATTCGTTTAGCTTACGCAAGGAGCACGTTACGTTCAGGGCATTTTTCTTTTGGATAAATACTTTGAGCTAGAATTGAGTTCTTACAACAGTAAAGTATATATATCTTGACATGTGAAAACAATAGGAATTATTTGTGATGTTCGTTCCTGTATGTAAGCGCTTCTGCATTGTTCGGCGGCTTCAGCCTATCCTATATCTTGGACTTTTTATTTCGCATATTTAGTGATTTTTTTTATTTATTTATTTTTTCTTGTAGAGTTTTGTCATCTGTAAGTGCTACAAGTGACGAAGAGGCTTCTGCTAGAGCTGCTGCAGTCAATGCTGATAGCGGGGTACCGACAATGTTTGTACCTCTACACCTTCTGATAGAATCATGTTTTATTTATCTGCATTTCCTTCAAGAATTCGATACACAATCTGTACAAACTTTCAGCAATTCAGAGTAGCTTCACGTGAGATTAGTTTAATGCCTGCTTGATATTTTCCTTATTTTAGATTTCTGTATTTGGCTTGCTTCTTCTTCCTTTTTTCTTTTAAGTATATTATAATTAGCCTAGTTTTTTTTCTCCTGATTTTCTCTGCATATATACTATATAAGGCTGAAAGACAATGCTCATGAAGACCTATAAGGCTTCTTGTGTAATATTGGTTTTGATTTGTTTTTAGAGAATTTTGTCTAAAAAACATTATATCGCGTCTATGAAATTTCATCCCGGTTTCTCTCCCCACTTCTCTTCTTAGTATTTAACAGAGGGAACAAAAAAAGAATAAGAAAAACAATTTCCTTAACTGGCCACCTGGAAAGATTTGGCTCTTAGTATCGTTATCAACTTATCGTGTCAAAGTTTGAATGGGTAGCTCGAGCAGAGTCTTACGCTAATATTATTAATTTTTTTATTTTTTTTTATAGATTTGACAAGATTATCTCAAAGGAGATACCTTCGACCATTGTGTATGAAGATGAAGATGTTCTGGCTTTTCGAGATATTAGCCCACAGGCTCCAGTTCATGTTCTTATTATTCCAAAGTTACGAGATGGATTAACCCAGCTTGGCAAGGTAGTCTTTTTTTTTTCTTCCTATGTTTTTCTTCTGTGACTAAGGTTTATTTGCGTAACTAATCTGCTACGCATCGCGTACCGTTTCATAAGTTCTTCTTCATCATCTTTGTTTTTATAGGCTGAAAAGAAACATGAAGAAATACTGGGTCGCCTTCTCTATGCTGCTAAAATAGTTGCAGAGAAAGAAGGCATTGTCGATGGTTTTCGTGTTGTCATTAACAGTGGCCCATCTGCTTGTAAGTCTCTCTCTCTCTCTCTCTCTCTCTCTCTCTCTCTCTCTCTCTCTCTCTCTCTCTCACACATTTAATCATTCTATTTCACTCTGTAGGTCAATCTGTTTACCATCTTCACTTACATGTACTTGGAGGGAGGCAGATGAAATGGCCTCCAGGTTAAGATACGACTTAAAACGAAGGATTTTTTGTTTCTTCGGGTCCTTATTGCTGATTTTCTGGAAAGTCGTTTACTCATAGGACTTGTTTTTTGTGGCAAATTTCACTCTTTGGAGAAGATGTATGATCCTACTTACAAGTTAATAATAAATTTGCAGAAAAATTTCCAGTCATACCATAATTGTAGAATTTTCAGCATTCAGTTACACTTTGATTGTGCATCTTTGAAGCAAGAATCCTAAATAGGTGAAAATTGAAAAAAAAAAAAAAAAAATAAAAAAGTTTAATGATCCCACATTTCAGATTCCTCAGTGAAGTCTTGAATAATGAGTAATATATACATATACATATTACATATGCTATTCAATAATCATTTCCAGTGGCACAAATCGACCCAAAATCTACGATGAGTTGCTAAACATAACAAACATGAGGAGTATACTATATTCAGTATTGCATCTTTATTGTAACAGTCGATTCCCAATTTGCTGCTAGGGAGGAAATGAACGGCAATGGCATAATAAACAGATATTCCTGCAAATCGAAAAATAATAAATTCAACAAAGCATCATTCACAGGGTCGTGTGTAGACCAGACTGGTTCGAGCAGAGGCAAGAACAGTCTTGTTCGGCTAACTCTCGAACCACAATGCGCTTGTCACGGTTACTCATAAGTTTAATAAGAGGCAGCTTTGAAGCAACTTGTCGCCATATTTCTTTCACTGTCCCATTTGGATCCTCGTACTCAAAGTATCTCACCACCTAAATGCATATAACACATAAACAAAATTAACACAAATTAAAGGGAAGTCATTTATCGATGTATTTATGCACATCACATGAATATTTTCTCATTTTATTAAGTTATACTTGAATAGTGTTAACTTGTTGTTCTATTCGAGTCCAAATCAATTTTTCTTCTAAAAAAAATCACTCCTCTCTTTTCGGCCATTAATAAACTTATCACCAATAATTCAACCACAAAATTAGGATAAAAACAGAAGAAGGAAAATTAATTTTCTTGGCTTCTAAAATTGACATATGGAATGGAGGAAAAAAAAAAGTGATGGACATAACGAATACAGGAGAAATACACACCTTTTTCAGTTCATTCTGGAATTCCAATATCTTCTCCGGACTCACACTTCTGAGCAATTCTACCAAATATCTCGGTTTAGTGGCAGTGTTTGTATCAACGAAGATGGCAATCTTTCGGTAGTCAATGACATCTTCAAAAGGCAACTCAATGTAGTCGCTCACTATAACCGGAACACATAAACTCACAATAGCATCAAAAAGTCGACAAGCTGATGGAGTATCGCCAGCTGGATGTAAACAAAATCGCGACGTGTGCATTCCTTGTGTTGCCGCTCGACGACTCTCCCGAGACTGAGCCCCATGCTTGATTATGACATCATTTTCATTCTCAAGCACTTGGAAAAGCAAATCCCGAATTTTACCGCCCTGCATTAGCACGTTTAATATTGAAAGGATACCAACAATCAAACTATTCAGTGGTCCATCGAGTATCAGAATTGGTATTAACAGAACAATTGTGATAGGGGCAGTAAATAACAATCTTTCTAAGTGGGTAAGAGCAGATATTTACCTCTTTGCGGTACCGATTTCCCATAAAGAAGAGCAGGGAGTTACGATTCTCCAATCCAACATCGCCCTTATATGTATTAATCCGGTGCGAATAAGGCAAAATCACGTCCTTCACTAAGGATGCTTGATTACTGGCTAACCTCCCAAAATCAGAAACTAATAGCACCCCATTCTTCACTCTATCAATGACTTTATACAGTGCATTTGGATCTTGACATATAAAAACATGATCCCACCCATTATTCCTCTTCCAATACACTTGTTCTTCCAGCCATTCCATCAAATCTTCCTATATGATCAGTGAAAACAATTGTTTATAAGCATATATGACAAATCACATCTCTAATATGATCTAAAAGATGTTCATTTACTGACTATAATGCCGCAAAAAATACAAGGCTTGCAACAACACATTTAGCTAGATACACAAAATCTTCCAATCATCAATTATAGAAGAAGCATTCATCAGCTACCAACATAGACCAACAGTGAATAATTGGCACATATTTTACCTGGGTCTGCTCATCATTGTAAACAGTGCCCTCATGAGAGAAATTCGAAACGGGCCGGATCGGATTCACCACGAGACTCAATGAAGAGAAAAAGGGCACGTAGAAAAGGTCTGCTTCTTCAGGGTCCATGACCCGAGTCACGGCCGACCCAACCGGCTCCCCAACAGGACGATTCAAGTCGGAGAATAAGTACCACTCGGCGGAGTGCTGATTCCCAGGGTACTTGAGCTGCGAGTCGTCCCCCACAGCCAGCCCCCCACGCGCCGCCGCATAGCTCTCGATCACTCCGTAAGTGAACCTCCTCGGCAAATCGTACATATACACCCTCACCTTTCTATTGTTACTATCATCATCGTCGGGAGAAGAGAATTTGTGATTGTCGCCTAAGTGAATTGAGGCGTTTGTGGTGTAACTGGGAGGGTTGTAGAAGAGGAAGGAGTATAGGGTTAGGAGGGCCAGGAGGAAAGCGACGGCGATGGTGGGTCTCAGGAGGGTTTTGCGGGGCATCTTCAAAGAGATTGCTTTAGTGCTGTTGTGGGGCGGCGGCGATGGAGGCGGAGAAGGGAAAGAGGCAGAGGCGAGCGGCGGCGATCTGAGCTTTGGCCGGGGATTCATTAGGGGCGTGGAGCATTGCGGTTGGTGGCGATCACAGAACACTAGCGGCGGTGGCGCGTGAAACTGTAGAAGAGGGAAAGGGGAAATGGATCTCAGTGACGATCATCCCGGAAACGTAAAACCCAATTGCTTTCTCTTGATGATTTCAAACGAGCTTGCAAGCGAAGTTAAGTGGCAGTAAAGGAAAATTGGGTTTCAATTCGGTTTCAATCTTTTGTCTTGGCTACTTCAACTGTTTTTTGGGAAAATTTTAATCATGAATTTATTTTTTCTTTAATATAAGATTTACATTCTATGTTATAAATTTAGGTTTAATCCTTGAGTGAGTTTCGGCTAAATATAATGTAAAAAAAAAAAAAATTTGGATACCAGAGCCTGTTGTTACTGAATACTGGCAATTTGAAAATAACGAAACATTACGTCACAATTGATTAGACTGGTCGAGTGGGAGTCTGGACTGGACTTTAAACTATAGATTTCTCTTATTTTATGTTATTCTAATTTTATTTTAATAATTTAGATTTTATTTATTTCATTAGAATTTTAGTTAGTTTACTTATTAAATCTCAACTCCCCTTTTATTTCTTTCATAATTTTAAATAATACGAAACAATGACAATTTGATTCACATTTCTCGTAGAATCGACCTTTACTCGTTGGTACTACTAGTAGTGGAGGTTAGTCGAGAAAAATATTAAATTAATTGTTGTGTCGTGACGCGATCAGATAGGAGTCATCCAATTTGCAGGGGTAGTAGAGGGTGTACTTTCTGTTGCTATGATTTCGAGGGCCGGCTTGACATGATGTTTGATTATTGCGTATTTCATTTGATCGATCCACATGCTTGACGCTAGGACAACTAGAGCGTCAACCTAAGCATTTTCACTATGTGTGATGTGGACTAAAGTTGCTTGGAAGAAAGTCAATTTTTTCTTAGTTAACTCGATGTAAAAGAGTAAGTGGGGTTATTTTACCTCAAATACTCCATTCACATGGTTAACCAAAAACATTGAATCGCTAAAAACTTTCAGTTTTTTTGGGCCCATGGATTGGGCCATTTTTAACCCGGCAATCAAGGCTTTGTATTCGACCACATTATTGGTAGAAGGGAATTGGAACCTTATCGCAACTCATAATAACTTCTTTTCAGAGTTGGTGAGTACTACTTCGGCCTCACACGTGCAAGTGTGGATGAGTCGTCGACGTAACGGACCCATACTTCGTCATCGAGAACGCAGTGGATTGTAGGGGTTACTCGACAATGAAATCAGCCTGGGCTTGCCCATTGATATAATTGTGTGGCTGAAAGATGACATTGAACTAGGCTAACTCGATGGCCCATTTGATCATTCGACCGGGTGTATATGGTCGGTGCAATATTTGCCATAATAGTTTGTCAAACCACGATGGGGTGTTCGAAAATATATGGACGGAGCTTTCGTGAGGAAATTACCAGCGCGTAGGCCAAGTTCTCCATCGGATAGTATATCAGTACACCTTTATGTAGGGCTTAAATGACAAAGTAAACAGGGTGTTGGGTGTTGTCTTCTAGGTGTATGAGTATCGAGCTCATTGCGGCGTCAGATACCACTAAGTATAAAAATAACACTTCGCAGTGTTTGGGTTTCGACATTACTGGCATTGTCATGAAAAATTTATTTATCCCTTCAAATGTTTGTTACCATTCTTTGTTCCACTTGAAATTTTATTTTGTATGACCTTTAAGGTCGACTGCGAGTCCGCGATATATCGAGCTAGAAGGATTTGGTTCAGAGCTGCGAACCTTTGAATAAAAATGGTATTTTGTAATGTATTTTAATTTAATATTAATGACAAATTTTTTGTATAACTTGTATAGTAAATATATGTTTATGTTGAATAACTTTGTGTAATGTATTTTTATGCTAAATAATTTATGCTTTTTATTTATTGATGTATTATAATTTTTTTTTTGCATTTTTTTTAATATTAAAATAGTACCATATGAGTAAAAATATAGCACAATTAAACAAGTAGATTTCATTAAAATCAAATGTTTACAACACTCGTAAATCACAAAATACACAAATAAAATGTATTTATATTATTTTGGTAATAAATATTTATATAAGATTAAACACACACACACAAACACACACACACACACACACACACACACACACACACACACACATATATATATATATACCAATTTGTTTGAAATAAAAACAAATAAAAAAATAATATATTTGATGTAGAGTAAAATGTAAAGATAAGGGCTGGAGGCAAAACTCGATTTTTGTTCCACTCTACTCTAGAGTAGAGTAAAGTCCGAGATAGAGTAGAGATAATGACTAAAGATGGTGTAAGTAAATGGTATTTATACGGGTAAAATTTTATAGCTACCCCACTTTAAGAAAAGAATTCCACAATGATGCCAACGATATACAATTCCGAATATACTCCAAAATAAGACACAACTAGCAAAACAAAAAATATTTATAAATAATTTAAAGTATACAACGGAAGTTACAAAACAACCTCTCTCATCCTTTTTTTTTTCTTCCTCTCTCCTATTCCTCTTTTCTTATCCTCTTTTCTCTTTCTTCTTTTTCTCTCATATTTCTCCTTTTTCTTTTCTTTGTCTCTCCTACGTCTCTTTTCTTATAACTTCTTTTCTCTTTCTTCTTTCTCTCTTATTTCTCCTTGCAGGCTTGCACGTTATATCTTTCTTCCTTTTTATTCATCTGCAAACATGAATTCCAAAGAATAAAAAATTGATAAAAAAATATGTTAACAACACACTGGAGAAGTAGTCTTGTAAGAGAGAAAAAATAATACATAGAAAAATAAAAAATTTTGTTCAACAACATAAAAAAAAATACCATAACAATCCACAACATAAAAATTCAGATAAATATGAAGAACTGATAAACCTTTGATGTAACAAGAAAACCACAATATAACAACATAAAAGTAACATGAAAACAACCATAACAACATACAACTAACATGAAAAAAACCTTAACAATCTAGACAATAACAAACCTCAACATAAACAAAAAATCAACAGACACATAATGAATGAAAGTAATTTCCGTAGACTTCCTCTAAAAACTCAAGTCGATCGTTCAAGGAATGTGAATCGAAGGCTAATAAGCGTCATAAAGATCGTAAAAACACACCAAGCCTGAAAAATAGAAAATTATTAAAAATTGTCCCTGCCGATTGAACCCAAAGATGCCCCGTCATTGAGTCGTAACGACAACGAGCAGCCGGAGGTAGTAGATTGGAAGATCTGTAAATTGGAAGAAGAAGAAGAATTGAAAGAGAAGAACATCTGTAAATTGGAAGAAGAAGAAGAATCGAAAGAGAAGAAAAAAATGAAAATGGAAGAATGAAAGAAAAAAGAGAGAAGAAGAAGAAATTAGAAGAAGAAGAAAACGAGATGGAACAAAGGGAATAAGAAAAAAGAGAAGAAGAAGAAATTAGAAGAAGAGAAGATTTAGGCAAAATTTTGGGAAAAAATAGAAGAAGAAGAAATTAGAAGAAGAAGAAATTAGAAAACGAGATGGAAAAACGGGAATGTGGATTTGGGGCAAAATTTTGGAAAATAAATTTGGAAGAAAAATTAGATCCAGGAAAAAGATAAGATGATGTTTATAAAAGGTTAAATAAGAATTAAAAAAACGAAAATAAAAAAAATATAAAAATAATAACTGATATTTGAAGTATAAATGGAAATCAAAAAGAGTGTATTTGACTTAATAATAAAGGGTACAATTATGTAAAAACTATTTTCAGAAGAATAGCTGGCGTCTTTATTTCTATTTATACGTACCTATAAGAATATGTTAATTTAGGGTTGTTTAGGTTCAATGTATGTGTACTAAGTTATTTTCATATCTTTTAATTAATTTAAAATAAATATAAATTGCAAATAATATATCAATCATATAATTCATAATTATATTTTTCTACAAATATACATTGGGTAAAACTATTTGAATCTATAAGTTATATTTCAAAATACTTAGATATTATTCTTGGATTTTAGATCATATGCATTACAAAATAGTTTTATAAATGGCATTATACCCAAAATACTTTTAAAAAGTCTACATTTTTTCATTTGGCTTGATATCAATTTTTCTATACATTTAAAATAATAAAAAACAATAATAATAAGTTCATAAATCATAATTTAAATACTTGGGTGATACATATAACTCAAAATATTGTGTTAGAGAATATTTCAATTTAAGTTTTTATGAGATTTGAGAATAAATTTTTGGTTAAAGAATAATTGGTGAATTATAATTTGACGAGATATTGACTACAAAATGAGTTTGAGAATGAGTTATACGATTCTTGAGGGTAAATTTGTAATTTATTTGGTCTAGGGTTTTCAGCATAATACTGATAAAGTCGCTCAGGTCCATCGTTTTTTCAGTTTTGCTGCTGAGCAACACTTCGCCGGAGATTAGTCAGATCCCAAGAACCCTACGCCTACCATGGGTAAATCCCATCAGTTTTCATGCTTTCGTTTTGTACTCTTATCTCACTTACAGACCTCTCAGAGCTAATCTCAGAGGGAGAGTGAAAGAGAAAGTGTAAGAGTGACGAAAATGGCTTTTCTTCTCAGGTATTTCTCGGGATTCCATGCACAAGAGGCGTGCGACTGGAGGAAAGAAGAAGGCTTGGAGAAAGAAGAGAAAGTAAGACAAGCCAATCTTCATTTTTCTGGGTTTTGTTTTGTTTGAAATATGTAATTCATCTGAGTGATTTAGTTTCTGACGAGCTTTTTTGTTGGGTGAATTTTCTTGTAGTATGATCTGTAAATGGTAGAACACGGTGTGGATTTGTGTTTGCTTGCTCGTTCCTCAAAATTCTAGCCATTTTTCCTCTACCCCTGCTGTTTTGAAGCACAATTAGCCATCTATAGATGTGAACCCACATCGAATCATAATTTGAATTTCGACCGGTTTTCCTGAATTGGAATTCAGTTTGTTCATTCTATTGTGTGCTTTTTTTTCTTAGGTATGAGCTCGGAAGACAACCCGCAAACACAAAGTTGTCTAGCAACAAGACTGTTCGCAGGGTGAGGGTCCGTGGAGGTAATGTCAAGTGGCGTGCCCTGAGGCTCGACACAGGTAACTACTCGTGGGGAAGTGAGGCCGTGACCCGAAAGACTCGTATTCTGGATGTTGTTTATAATGCGTCCAATAACGAGCTGGTTAGGACCCAGACTTTGGTGAAGGGTGCCATTATTCAAGTTGATGCTGCGCCTTTCAAGCAGTGGTACCTTCAGCATTATGGAGTGGACATTGGTCGTAAGAAGAAAGCTGTTGCCAAGAAGGAAGGAGAGGTAATGACTGATTAAGTGTACTTTTTTTTCTTCAGTTTGATGTTTGGTTGCATCTGTATTGTTATTTTTATTGCCATTTGCGGATTAGGTTTAATGGAGTTATACCATTGAGAATGTGCTTTTGGATCATTGACAAACGAGGGTTCTCGTGATGGTTATGTGCTAGGATTTGGGTTTGTGCTTTTTATAGAGATAGAAATATTTCCTCATTGGTTGGATTATTAGCCATAACTGGGCAATCAAACTATCTAAGGGATAGTAGTGCATTGAACAACCACCAACTTTGATAATAATTATCATTTCTTGTCCCTAAAGTTTAACCCATTAACCAAGCACTCACTGAGAAAGCTCTGGATACATTAACCTATTTAGACAATTCTCTGTACAAATATTATGATTTCATTTAATTTAGTGTTTGCTATTTCAGTTTTTAGACTGTTAATTATTGATAAGATATAAAGTTGCTTTGTGAATATCTTGGCTTTTAGGAGAATGAGGCTGCTGCTACTGAAGAGGTAAAGAAGAGCAAACATGTCCAAAGGAAACTCGAAAAGCGCCAACAGGATCGTAAAATCGACCCTCATATTGAGGAGCAATTTGGTGGTGGCCGTTTGTTGGCGGCAATCTCCTCCCGCCCTGGCCAGTGTGGGCGTGCTGATGGGTATGTATTTTGTATCAGCATTTTCCTGTTAACTCCTCGTGTGTTGAACTCTATTCTTATTGGGCGATAATGGATGTGTTTCATGCTTTTAACTGATAATGAATGTGCTTATATTATTAGTCTGCCAGTTTATTGCAAGGAGATTTCAAATTAGTCATTGTTGATAAATAATGGTGGTCTTTGTTTCGAGAATTGAGGCCAGTTTTTAAATCTTTGTTTGAAGAACTGAAAATAGTGCTTGGCTTGTTGTATATAGTAAGGATGGCTCAGTCAATCAATGTAATGTCAGTTTTTAGTTAATATAAAGCACTATAGGCTATAGCTGTAGTAATCTCACCTTTCTTTCGTAATAGTCTTTGCGTTTGATGTTCGTTATATTTTCTATTTCGGTTACAGTTATATTCTGGAGGGCAAGGAATTGGAATTTTACATGAAGAAACTTCAGAGGAAGAAAGGAAAGAGTGCAG